CAGGGCGGGGGGGGGGGGAGCGAGGGGGCTCGCGGACTAAGGTCAAGGTGACCGTCTGCGTCTCGCGACGTCCGATTGATGCTCAGTCAAGCGGCTCCGGCGCAGCATCCGGCGCAATTGCAATGGACCAATTGCAGATGCAACATGCAGCGAGGATGGCAGCTCGGATGCCGGCGCATCGCCTCGTGTTCCATCGGCCGGCTCAATCTCTTCCGAACATATTACTTTGTGCGGGTAAAACGATATCAAGAGGGCCTCTATTAGCAGGCTCATTGTTGAAATTGATAGGCAAAGCTATAGAAGAAGAGGACATAATGAGTATGGAGCAATCCTATTGCTATAAGTTAGTCTATTATATCTACCTCTCATCGCAACCAACCGCTTCTACCAATAGGATCCCTCCATACCCTCGTATATTTGTCTATAGCTTTGTCTGCCGATTTCGACCGCGCAGTCTGACTGTTGAAATTGATAGACAAAGCCATAGACAAAAAAGTTGAAAGGTATTTGAGGGGATCCCAATGGTAGAAGCGGGTGGTTGCGATGGACAAAGGAGGTAGATAATAGACTAGCTAACGGCAACTCACAAGGGTCCCTTTAGTTAGTCCATCATTTACCCCCTTAGTCTATGAGAGCCACCCAAATTAACCAATAGGATTGCTCCATACTCATTATGTCCTCTTTGTCTACAGTTTTGTCTATCATTTTCAACAATTAGCCCGTTGGCCTCTCAAAACGTAAGAGTAGTAGTGAGACTCTTTTAAGGGTGATGTCATTCTCTTTCAAACTGCATACAAGGAAAATGGCTGTGTGTGTGTGTTTTTTTTTTTTCTTTCTTTTTTTTCTTTTAATGTCCAGAAAGGGACAAGAAATTCTATTTGTGGGCTCCCGACAAAAGAGAGGAGTTTTTCTAACTTAACACTTAAAAAGATTTACCAGACGTAATGCGCATATTCCAACACCGAATGCTAACATCGTCGACGACTTCTCGAAGAAGTCCTCTAAAACTCATTTGGGGAAAACGGGAAGAGGAGGGGGGGATCTCGATTCCTGTACGCGCTTCCACTAATTCCAAGAAAAGTATGAATTTTTGAGAAACACTTTTGCTGAACCGTCGCTTATTTAAAGCGGCCAGCGTGGAGGATCGAGAATATTTCTGCCAGTCCAGCCCTTAGGGCTGGGCCCTATCCGCGAAGGGCCTGCCCCTGTGGGGTATGAGGTAAAGCAATTCTACGGCCCAGCCCTAATCTCGTTTTTGCAGTGAGGATAGGAAAAAGGTGACATTAATGAGAGGGTGTTTTAACTCATCTGAAATTTGCGAAGATCTCTCTTCCTTTGTTTCTTGCTTCGTTCCTTTCATATCGAAACAAGGCTTTTGAACTGCTAATTTCAATTGATAGGGCATGCTTCATACTCACGATGAGACCGAAGTAACCTAGACGCCTTCATTTCTTTTACACGCAACACGGACATCCTTCAAGCTGGAATAGTTGCATCCACGTTTCGTGTAGTTGCGCGTTGGTATCCCTTCACGGCGCGGCGGCATTGGCTGAGAGACTTTAACGCAACGTTAGAAACGTGTGCCGTGATCAATTGTAAAAGCTTGTACGTCTCTGATCAATTACAAAATTGCTTTACTCGCAAAAAAACATAGATTTTTTGGAATTCCAAGATGATTAACAAAGCGAGTTTTCTTGTTTCACTCGCTCATTCCCAATTTTAGCGCTTGCGTGATTTGGAAAATAATTACTTTAATTTTGAACAGTGTGTTGAGTGAACACCACACGATGGGCACACTTTCTCACAGTGCACCAACAGTCTGGGCGCAGCTCTTATATCATTGTAAGAGACAGTGACCACAGGTGGGAGAACCTGCCGACAGCAACGCCCTCCAGCGCGAATGAGGAGTGGCTTACGTAAATCATCGTGAAAAAGTTGGGCGTCGATGCAGAAGGTGCAGGCGGCGGCGGCGACGCGACGCGGGAGTGCGATATTGCATGGCGTCGCGGCGCGGCGCGGTTCTCTGGCGCGTGGAGTCGTGCATTGGCGGTCACTGTCAACGGTTCAAGGTCCAGCGATTTGGATTCCCGACCTACGACGACGGCGACGTCATGGATCCGACGAAAGTCACGGGACGGGGCACTTGCCGCACCGCCATGCGTCACGCCTCCGGGCCCGCCACTTCGCGTGGCGTTGCATTCCAGGTCCCTCGGCGGGGCGGGGTGACGTCATCACTTAGAAAATAATTTTACGCGCCCAATTTTCCCATTTTTTTGTTGTAAAAGCCGGGCTAAAGATGATTTTATTACACTGAAAAAAAAGTAACGGGCTGTGTAGACATACCGTCCGTTCCGGGCTCAGAGGCCGAAAGTTCCGGGTGCTGGAGCCGTAGCTTTGATTGCTCCGGGTGCTACGCCCAGAACTTTCGGTCTCAGAGCCAAAAACTGAGTGTATGTTTGTATGACCTGTAAGTATGGCTTCTACGGACGGAATTTTCAATCAGTGCACAGCTCCTATCGCTAACTTCACCTACGCACAGTGGAACAAGTCAATTTTTCCGTTGTCTTCTCTGTCAATCGCTTTAATTGTCTATCGAATTCAATTATCAGCCCGCTGTAAGAGCGGGCCAGCGGATTTCTACATTACAAAGTTGACTTCGCTCTGACGAAATGAATTATTCTCCGTATTCATATCACTCGGTCTTTTGGGGGCACACTATATGAGCTCCGGTTTAAGAGACACGCTCATGATTTCACTTTGAAACTTCCAACAGTGTGACCACGAGCCACTGCACTGCTGCATATCCCCCGAACTTGGCTTGACTATCAATCAATTTCTTTCATGTGGTGCATTTTCGATTTACAATATGCCGTTTGATTTACTAAGAAACACGGCGATGCCTCTGCTTTCCTCGAAACTAATTTAATCCGCGATTATTTATCATTGAATCC